TCATAGGTCCAAATTTTTTTTTTTTTTATTGAAGCCTCACCTACATACAGATAATGTTAAAATATCTCTAATATTTAAAATTAAAAAAAAAAAAACCAAAACCAAAAACCTCTCTCTCTCTCATTTTCTAAAACAATGTGTTCATACACACGAAGTGTGTGGACAAATGCTAGTGTTAATTAAGCATAGTGAACCAGCCCTCCCAAAACAAAACCTTCGATCACAATTAGTTATAGATTTTTTTTTTATTAATTAAACAGTTGGTTCAACTCAGTTATACAGATGTGAAAATCAAATTAGGGTTGTCCCAACTGTATTTATTCGTAATATGAAATTATAAATCCTCAAAAGCGTCAATAACATATGTTTTTTTCATCTTCATTCATTTTACAATATCCACCATATATACGACTAATATGTGCGCTGGGAAGTGTTGCAGTCAGGCTTGGCACTTTCGCACGGCCCGTACGGTTATATCCATTGCTCTGCAGGAACCTCCGCGACTCTGTAGCCTGCAAATTTCAAACAAACAAAAAAGAAAAGGTAATTAATTCCTCCGTAAGATAACTGGTCGTAAAACTGTGACCGTATATACAACATATTATTCGTAAAATGATTTCATTTCAATACAGACCTGAGCTCAAACAAAATAGCGCGATGCAGAAAAGCACCAAGAAAAGGCCTCGAGCAAAGTTGATGGAATTCATATTGTCTGAGATTTTTTGCTATTTGGATGAATGTTTGAAGTCATGCCGTTAAAGCTATTTATAGTACACTAAAACTCTCTCTCTCTTTGATGGCGGATCTAGATTGACATCTAGCAAATCAGTTTTTGGAGAATGTAAGTATCTTGTTTGATTCGCTACCAAATCAAGGGATCATGTAAATTCATTAGGATTATTGACAACCCAAAAAAAAAAACCCGTTTTGCATTTTATAAATATATTTGACCTATTTGTTTTTTATTAGTTGATCATAAAAATATCATTCTTGCTAAAAGCTAAATCAAATTTAAAACTATAAAGACATTTGTTTATGTTATCATGTTCACCAAATGACCGTAATATGACCATACGAGGACATGTAAGCAACTCTTTAAAAAAAGATTTTTAGATTTATCCACCGGTGTATAGGGTATTAGGTTAAGCTATCATTTTTTCACTAAACAGTTAATCTTCCTAGCATTACTCTTTATAGAAACAGTAAAATAACAATTCATTGATTTGAGTGGTTAAATGGTTTTGGATATGAATAATTTTTTGCAAGAACAAACTTTAAGAGAAAACTTAAAATGACGAAGGACAAAGTTGATGTTATTTTAGATACGGAGAAGTTAAAAGGAAGAAGCGTCATTTGATTAAAAAAGTGATTCGAGAATTAGTAATTCATAGGTTAAAAAAATATTTGATGTTGTCAGATCCCGAAAGTGGATGTATTTTACTTTTCAAGCAAAATTTGAGCGAATTATGTCGTTTAATGTGTTTTATTCGTGTTTTAATATTTTAGGATCTTTTGATGTTTTGTTATTTGTTTGATTCCTTTCCTATTTAAATTCCTAGGGTTTCTAAGGCTTGGTTATACTGGGTTGGTTATCTATCATATTATTAATCAAAATTTGAGAACTTTTCTCAATTCTCTAATGTTTCAGAATCCTAATCAAGAGTGATTGTTCGTGATCCCTTTTATCCTTTAGAATGATTGGTCATTTTTGCAATATCCTCTAGAATGACGATCTAAAGTTAACACCATACCATATTTCTTCAAAGAAAATAAATCCTTAAATTATAAAAAACTACCAATCATCCCTCTAAAGTGCATCACATATAAGTCAAGTGACTTAAATTGACGAAAAATTGAATAAAATAGCTACGAATCTAATATTAGGAAGGACTAAATCAATAATTCACCCTAAAAAACTAACTTAAGTTGTTGAAATACAATGGGGCTAGGTCCTGTAAGATTATCCTCAAACAAACTTATTTATGGCGTCCCTCAATTGAAGCTCCCTCAAATGATTTGAACTTTTAAAAGAGTCCAGCACGAAAGCGAAGGGAGGACAAAAATTATCATCGTAAACAAGATAGTAAATATGTAACAGCTCGATCACAATTAGTTAAAGAAAGCTTTATTAATTACATAGATGAGAAAATGAAATCAGGGTATACGTCCGACTGTATTGATCCGCAACATCCTCAAAAGCGACAATAACAAATGTTTTTTCCAACTTTACTAAATATATCGGCCTCATTGCTGATAGACACACTAGACTGCCGACCAATCTTCTATAAGCGCTCGAGATCATCCTCCCAATCTTGTCGAGTCTTGGCCTTCCTTGGGCCTCTTGGGGTTGGAAAAGACCGCGCGTTAATGACCATCGTCTCTCTTCCCTCTTTCATCCATCATCATCATGCATTGCAATAATCAGCCTTTAGTGAAGGAAGACAACAGTAGAAACTAACCAGTTTTGTGCAAAATATCGGTGAATTCGAAGCAGGTATGATGATGTGGTATGGAACAGCTTTACTGCACTGGTATAGAGGAGAAGGCAAGGAGGAGTAGACAGTTCACTTAACCTTAGAGGAAAATGGACGATTTGGAAGCCACTGCTGATGAGGAGAAGACATATGGTAACATCAACTAATCGAGGCCTTCTTGGTCCATGAACATCAAAAAACAAGCACCAATATCGTCTATTTCAAAGCCTCCATGGTCTTCCCATCTTTGCAGAAGCTTGTGTCCCAGAACTTTGACCCACAAATCCATGTAAATCTAGTCTTGCTTGGTTCTCCATCCCCTTGTATCGACTTCAACCCACGGGAAACAATGTTTCCTTAATTACCCCTACAATCAGTTTCATGTGCCACGCACGTGACTGTATTTAACGGAATTATTGATGGTGTTAACGAAAATGACCATAGCTGCACATTTTGACGAGTTAAGGGACCAATGGTTATGGAAATAAAGTTGAGGAACCATTGCTCCAATTGGATTAAAGTTGAGGGACAATTGCTACAATTTCTTCTTTATAGAACTAGTGGTCACCATTTCTAGACAGTGACACTAATCTTAGAACCAGTGTCAGTGACACCCAAACTAACATTTGGATCACAAGTAGTTTATGAAATTTTTATTAATTAAAGACTTGGGTACAACTCAATTATACAGATGAGAATACGAAATTAGGGTTGTACGTCCCAACTGTATTGATTCGTATGATCTGCAGCATCCTCAAACGCGACAATAACAGAAGTTTATTCCAACTTCATTCACTTTGCAATAGCCACCAAATCGAGGGTTTATACCAAGCTTGATGCAGAAAGTGTTGCAGTCAGGCTTGGCCTTTTCACACGGCCCCCAGGGCCAATGCCTTTGCCCTGAAGGAACCTCCGCAGCACTGTAACCTGCAAAATTCATACAAACAACAAAGGTAATTCCTCCGTAAAATACGTGATCGTAACAATGTAAATGTGACTGTGCGACCCCAAGCCAACAAGAAACCTGTTTTGCCAGGATCGAGGGAGGGGAAACGTAAGCGACCTTACTTTTTTTTTTTTTTCAAAGAGGCTGTTTCCACAATTTAAACCAGTAACATTTCGTTGCGTCAAGGCTTGCCCTCGACCGTACATACTGCATAGAGTTTGAAAAATGATTTCATTTCAATGCGTACCTGAGCTCAGACGAAATAACGCGACGCAGAAAAACACCATGAAAAGGGCTCGAGCAAAGTTGATGGAAGTCATATGGTCTGACGATATTAGTTTGTTACTATATAGTTTGCTGTGTGATGAATGTTTGAAATCATGTGGTATTTATAGTACACTGAACCCCTCTCTCTTTGATGGAGAATCAGAATTGACTTCTCGCAAATCAGATTTTGTTAAATGTAAGTTATGAGTAATAAGTATCGTTTTCGATTCGCTACCAAATCAAGGGATCATGTAAAATCCATTAGGATTATTGACTAAAATAAGAATTAGGATTCTATTTCGGGATCCTTCAGATAATTTTGTGGGCCCGTTTTGAATTTTATCTTGTATTGGAATTTTTTTTTTTTTTTTAGGAAAAGTGATGAACAACAATCCACAAAAAGTAGGAGGAGGATTGTCTCTCCGCCTAATCTCTCTTAGTTTCTCTCCCTTCTTATTTAATCGGTTACGATTAAATCACGTCAACATCTTGTATTGATTTTTTATAGAGAGAGAGAAAAAAAAAAAAAAAAAAAAAAAAACTATGAGTGGAGGTGAGGGAAGAAGATGAGAATAACATAGGAGAATCCTACTTCCGAAAAATAAACAACAACCATATTTCAACAAACATTAAAAGTCTAAAATAGCAATCATTCCTCTTTTTCTTTTTTCTTTTTTTGGACAAACGATAGTGTTAGTGGGTTAAATTGTCAATTATTAGGTGGAGGGTGATCGATGGGGATTGAACCCGCACCAGGATACATAGACATAATTGTATTCCGCCACTATGATAATGCGCTATCTGATATCAATCATTTAATTGAGTAATTAAAAACTAGACGGCTTTGATTACTGAAATATAACAAGGACTAGATCCTAAAAAAGTATCCCTCAAATAGACTTATTTCAGGCATCCCTTAAATATGTATACTTTTAGTATCCAAACATCATAGGGGAATAGAAAATCGAACATAAAACCTCATGTACAAAGGTAAACACTCTTAATACTTATAAACTAGCTTGAACAAGTTAGTAAGAACAGTGTCTTCCTCTATACACCCGAGTTCGAAACTCTCTTCATGTATTGATTTTTCGCTCAAAACTACAAGGAATATATATATGGTCCAGTGGGTTAACTCAAATACCCATATTATACATTCACACATTTAAAGACAGTTGGGCTTGAACAGGCCCGGCTGGATACAAAGCCTGTCATAGTCTAAAGCGAATAGTAAGCAACAAACTGGAAGCAAATGGTCAAATCCGACCAGGCACAATCCGGTGTTCATTTGCTGAAACGAATGAGAAATCATATAACAACTGTGACACACATTTGTATTCAAATACTTTGAAACGGTTCATAAACTATGTCATTGTTCCGATCAACCCGAAAATACAGACGCGGCGTGCGAAAGACAGAAAAAAACAAATAAACAGATATGGGATGATATCATATACAGCCATTAGTTACAAAATTACCTCCGCCTTCACAAGTATCTCCCCTCATCAGATTATATCTTCACACCCAGGAATTCCCGGGAAATGGCGTTTATAGCGCGAATGAAGGAGGTCTCTGTCTTCGGTGCTGGTTCTAATTATTCCTTTCAACGGCCTTTCCAATGAGAAAATGTGATTCAGGCTCTCGAGCTGCAAGCCTAATAACCGTTCTTTCCTTTTGAGGAGAAGAATCTGCTGATGCCGCGCTGATGTTTCTCTGGTGTTGGGGTAGAAGACGTAGATGAGGGAGTTGACTTGGAAGACTTGTGTTTCGGACTTTTGGAACTGACTGGTGATTTTAAGACAGTGCTTGCCTCTGTGTCGGATGGGCATGGAGAGTTATGCAGGTTGATGGGAGACTCGCTGCCCACTCTGTTTACATTGACAGAAGAAGCACCTTCCGTCTCACCTTTTTCTGAGTCTTGCAAGTTCATGGCACTGGTAGTGGGTTCATCCTCAGTGAACCCTTCACCCTTTTGACTCCTCCCATTGTATGGAGATCCCACGACCTCTGTTTGAGGGTGCAATGCCTTCAACTGCTTGCCGAGAAGAAATATGGTTTCTTGACACTCGGCAAGCTTCTCCGCTGCATCTGCCAACTCCCTGTCCTGTGATTACAGAATATAAATGTTCAAGCTATCAGCATCCACTTGCTTTAGTAGGCCAGGATAGATCAATGTTGACAACACAAAAAACAATTGAGCACGGACAGAAAATAAACAAGCAGAAAATGAGCGTCGCCTCACCTGTTTTGTCTTGAATTCAGTCTCAGCTTCCAAACGCTCATTGCTGGCATAAAAAAAGGAAAATGTGAACGTTAGAGTCGATCACCAAACCTGAAACCTAGTAAATTGAATGCTCAATAGTTTTGTTTTTTCATTTGCTATCAAGCAACAGATGCCACCGATGGAACAGAGATTGACACTAACCTTTTCAATTGCTCTTGAAGTTCCGTGCATCTGGCCAAAGCATCTTGATGGTTCCTTTTCTCTTCTTGTAGCTCGCTTTCCAGAGTTTCGTTTCTGACTTGCAGAAGCTTCAGTTCAGTTTCTAACTCCTGAGCTCGTGAGTCTAGTGACCTGTATGATTCTGCCATACATTTCAGCTGCGTCTCGGCTAAGCTATTTGAGTTCTTAGCAGAAGCAAATTGTAATTTAGCTTCAGCAAGAAGCTGCTCAGTTTCCTGTAATTGAGACTTTGTAATCTCTAGAGTTTCAGAACATCTTGCCAAATCCGTTGCCAGGTTATCTTTCTCTGATTTCAGTTGTTCAAACTCCTCCAGTGAGATTTTGCATGGCGCGGCATTTGGTTCATAGCCAGAGACAAGATTTCCATCATCAGGAACTTCAGGGTTAGTATCATTAGGAATGTGGACACAAACATTTTGAAATCTTTGTGATGAATCCTTCTCAACTACCTTATTCTCTGGTAATGCTACCTTGTCAATACAATCAGGACTGTTAGTTTCTGATTCAACACCCTTGGCGCCTAGAACGTTGAATTTGAGTTCACTGGCGTCTGCTAAAACATGCGAAAGGCCAAGAACAAATTCACCCAAACTTAAGTTTCCATGAATAACTTTACTGAATGTGCCAGAGAATTCTTCAATCTTTAGGGTCAATCCATCGCCATCCGGAAACGTGTCATGCACTTCCATCACTTCTTTGCCCAGGAGCAGCACAAAGTCATGGATCAAAGAAATGGCAGATGCCAGATCTTCGCTTATTACTTTCATCGTCTCTGTGGCTGGCTGGGACAAAGTGATTTCCTTTTCTGTGCTTAAACCAGAATCATCAGGATTTGCCTGCCGGTCACATAGGGCATCAGAGCTGTGAACTTCCTCTGAAACACACTTTACAGTGTGCGGGTGCAGAGTATTTTGTGCTTCCTGGACTACAAGTTTGATATCCTCAATAACTTTCCCAAAATCCGTTTCCTTAGATAAGAATTCCAATAGCATACAGATTTTCGAACGGAGTTTCACCAGTGGCAGCTGGCTTTCATCAGATTCAGGACTGGATCCTGACAATTCCGCATTTGGCAGCTGGCTTTCATCAGATTCAGGACTGGATCCTGACAATTCCGCATTAGAAGATGCCTGGTCACCTACCAAGGGACTTGAATCATGCTGCTGCTCAGATTGGACATCTTTGGCGGCAGTGACATCTCCCAAAGCATCATGACTCTCTCTTTCGGATGTCTTACTAGAGATGGCTCCATTCGAGTCATTTGGCAAACAAGCCAACTTCTCCATCTCCAGAAAGTCATCCATAAGATTCAAGTCGTTTTGACTTTCAGATTTGTTTGACTTTGCATTGTTCTTCTCCAATGTTGTGGCCCAAGACTCAGTATAGCTTCTGGCGTCATCATTACCATCTTCAGACAAGGAGGTCGAGCTTGGTGGATTGCTTGCATCCTGGCTTGACGAACCTCCAGGGGTGATCTGAACAACAGATTTTGGCGAGCCTTTCTGTAGATTGTTGATTTGAAGTTGTGCTTCTAATGTTTGAAGCTTGCTGGCTGCCTGAGCATACATACTCCTTGAATCCAGCACATCGCTGTTACGCTTTGCCAAAGCTTCTTTCAGCATCTTTGTTTCTTCTTCCATTGCTAATAAACGTTCTGTGAGAAATTCATTCTCCTTTTGAAACTTCTGTACATTATCAAGAGAAAACTCAGTCGCTAGGGACATGTGCGGGGACATTTGTGGACTAGAAGGCTTAACAGGAGACTTCCTTAATCGAGTTTCTCCATAATCTCGGCCTAAACTTTCAACCTCAAGCTTCATTTGTGCAAGTGCAGCAGGACCAGGTAACTTCTTCCGCACAAGACCACGTAATCTTTGGCACTCTGCTTCAAGCTTAGTTATTTTTTTAACACCTTCCATATGCTGCTTGTTGGCTGCTTCGGCAGACCTCATACTCATGTTCTTTTCCTCATTCCGAATTTCTAGCTCCTTGGCGGCTAGATGGAGTTCATACTTCAGAGAATGTATTTCCCTTTCACAAGACTCAACGTTGCTCTTAAAATGCTCAATTTCTGCCTCAGCTTGTGACTTCTCTTCGCTTATCTTGAATAGCATATTTGAACGCTCTTGTAAGGACCTGGAAATAGCAGCATTTTCAGCAGCGGACCTTAGGAGTTCTTGATCTAAATTAGCTATCTTCGCTTCGAGCTCATGCTTGATTTTGTCAACTTGCGTGTTTTTGGTGAAAACAACATCTTGTATTTTCTGCTCATGTTCTTCCTTAAGATTTCGTATCTGCCGCATGCACTCTTTAAGAGCACCATCCAAATGTGCGGCCCGGTCTTCAGCAGTGAGTTTCAAAAGAGTCACAGATTCTAGATGAGTTTTCAATGCGAGAGCCTCCGCTTCAGCCTTTTCCCAACCTGCGGCAAACAGGCGTTTTAAATAAAATATTTTCTGTCAAGTGTCAACTCAAGAAATCCTTGATCAGCACCTAATCAAGAACTTTATTTTTTTCTGTAGTCGAGTTACTTACACCAATATCATTATTATCATACCTGAGACAGCTTCTTCGGCAACTTTAGCATGCTGTTTAACCAAGCTCTCTTTGGTAGTCATCTCAGAATCGGCCTCAGTGAGCTTATCATTCAAATCCTTAATTTCGTCCTCCAATGTCTGAACTTGATCCTCATAATTCTTCACTTGATCCTCGTAATTCTTCACTTGCTCCTCCAAACCGGTCAGATGCGAATATTGCTCCACAGAAATTTGCACATAATTTGGTTTTTTGTACTTCTCCTGATTGCATAAGAAGCAAAACCGAAAGAAAAAAAGAAAAAAAAAAAAAAAAAAAAACTATTACTAAATTTGTTGCATCAAAACTCGGAAGAAACTATGAAGAAACCTAAATAATCCATCAAATTGCAACAGAAATTGCTGTCAACTGTGACAAATTCATTAAAAACCAAACAATCCATCAAATTAGAACAGAAATTACTGAGACAAATTCATTAAAATTTCAAAACTGCATAACGAAAACATACTAGAAGTGCCTACTTACTGATTCAATGTAGTGAATATGCAAAATGTTATTGATTAATTTACTGTCAATGAACTTACTTGCTCAGTCTGTGCCTGGCTAGCTAAGGAGTCCGCTGCGGCGGCGGCTCTCTCCGCTGCCGCCTTGTCCGACGACTTTTTCTTCCACGGCCAACTCCGTCGGTCCATATTAGACTGCAATGTCTGCATAAATTACGATTCAAAATAGTAGTTGTTTGTTAGTTGCGAGAAAAAGGAAACCAATTGAATTAAATTAATTAAGAAACAAAAAAACTGATTAGGAAAGTAATTAGAAACTTCAAAACTTGAATCATTCAGTTTATAATCCAAGTCAAATAATGGTAAGAAAACTCAGAAGTTCCATTTCTGCAAGAGCATTGCGAAGAACAGAAAATGTAGATGCAAATCACAAAAACGACATGTCGACTAATGCAGAACGGAGAACGACGAGATCTTGATTACGGAGCTATATTTAGCTGGAGATCCTACGGATTTAAAGAGATTAATACCGTAATACACTGACACTGAAAAAGCTCAAAAATCCGATACGAAACGGAAATAAATGGAAAAGAAAATTGGAAAATCGGAAACACGAACGAAATCGTTTAACACAAAAGCAAAAAGATGAACAGGAAAATCGGTGGAAACAAGCAGAGAAAACCTCACCGACAGAAAGAGATGAAAATTTCTAATTTGATGAAGTAATAAATCGCATAAAAAATCACAGTTTGTTTCCAGAAAGCAGAATAAAGACGAATTATCAGCAGAAAACCGCATTTATTTATTTAATTTCAAATATTTTCATCTCTAGTGTATGAGAAACTTCCGGTAGATGGCGGTGACGAACAGAGATTAAAAGAAGTCGGTGGAGACAGAATGCGTGGGGAAATCGGCTTACCAGAACTAATGCAGCTTCCGAAACACTCCGATGCGGAGAGTATCAGACTCCGAAATGGAGATCCGAATTCGGATTTTGTTGTCGGTTTTAGAGAGATGGAGTGCGACGGAGGTGGAGATTGTGGAAGAGCGGAGAGAGAGAGAGAGAGAGAGAGAGAGAGAGGAAGAAGGAGAAGGAGAAGGAGAAGGAGAAGAAATGGATTGCGGTGGTGGTGGTGGTGGTGGGTGCGAGAAGAGAGTGAAATATTCGGACTGAGGTGTCACTTTAAAAGGTGAGACGTTAGAAAAAGCCTCCAAAAAACCATCGCCTTCAATTTTCTATTATTTTTTTGAAAAATTAAAAAGAAAATAAAAAAATGGAGAAGACAACAAAATAAAAAATTAATTAATAAGCATGGGGGAATGCTTCGTTTTCCCTTATCTTTTGTTCCTTTAATTTAATAGAATTTTGACGAAAAATTTAAAGTACTGTTCATTTTAACGAAAAATTATATTTTTACACTAAAAAGTCAATCATATTACTATTCACTTTATCTTTTATTTTGTCCTTGTCATTAAAACTCAAAATTTTCAAATCATTTCCATTAGTTGTCTTTTAATATAATTAGAATCTGCGATATTTATTAATCAGAGCCTTGTTGGTTGACAAATTGGCGAATTTACCCTCGATAGAACATAAGAATGGCAATTGAGTCAAGACTGCTTCTGTAAAAAAACACTTTTTCTCACAAGTGTTCAAGCTATATATGTCAAAAATTATCGAAAATATAAGCGTTTCTACACTTGAATGCGCTTATTCAGAAATTTTTGTAATTATCAAAAAGCACTTTTGGCGTTTACAGAAGCAGTCGCAAACGGACGCTCCTGCGACGCTTGTGGGGGAAGCAAGGGTGAGCTGTATCCGATATTAGAAAGTTCTGTTCTGCTGTTGGAGTATGTTATGTTTCCATTACCGGGTCTGGACCACCGTCAGTAGTCCAGCTCATCGCTCTAAAAATGCGCTGTGCTGTTGGATGCGCTGCGGGTGCTGCGTGGTGCGGTGGACTGTCGCAGCACGTTAGTGATTTTGTTATTTTATATAGATCGGAACATCAACGCCGTGTGAAATTTTTCAATGTAACCGGTACAAAAGACAGTACATCACGTGTTATTATACAAATTGTGGGATATATATGTTAAAAAGGTAATAACTAAAAAAATAAAATTTTCCACTACTTATATAAAAACAAGTAGTGTATTTTCTGTGGTCCGGTCACAATGAAAAATTTCTCCAAGACCGTCGGTTGGACCAACCTTGGATATTTGTGGTTCTTTCTTGCTTATCATCGTATAATTTTTGGATATTTGTTTTCTATACCCTACTTCAGCATGGAATAATTATAATTTTCTACCAAAGCTTGACAAATAATTTGTTGATCTTGATTTTAGGATTTACCCATTAATTAAAGTGGAACGGATTCGTGACATTATTTTTTACACAAATTACACGTTCTGATAAGGTCATCTTCGTAATGTATTTCAACGATATGAATGTTTATCTTTTAGGTCTTCGCTCAAATATCATGTTTACCAAAAGTTCCCAAAATCTGAAACCATATGAACGTAAGGGTTTGGGGTTTCTTTGTAGAACCATATTCTTCAATTTTCTTTACTACAAATAAATGTCTTAATGGTTTTGGATTTGTCTTTTTTTTTTTTTTTAAATATGATCTATGATGATATTCTAAAAGATAAACGGTTCGAATCATTAAAATACAGTGAGCCCCACTAAAAAAGATTAAAAATTTGTGTAAAAAAATAGTCACATATCTGTCCCTAATAAAGGACGTGTGATTCTAAACAAAACAAAGCATAAGTGGCAATGAATGAAAGAAAAATACTGTGCGAAAATCAATTCCCTTGTTTAGTGACTTTGGAATGCTCGTGTACTTTTATTTCGTCATGTGTTTTAACGTTTTTGTACTGTATCATAGTTTATTTGACCCAAATTTCTCGTCTCGAATTTTTCTAGTTTATGGACAATATACATGTATCGGTGCACATATTACTGTTATACGCATTAAACGTAAAAACATGTAAAAAGTTGGTAATTTCCCCTTTTTGATGATTTAGCCCCATACTCGGCGATAGGTAGATAGCCCAATCAATCATTCAACAAATAGACCTCGTAAAAAGTAGTCATATATGATTAGATACAATACTTTCAACCAAAGCAATATGTAAGAATGACACAAAAATCAAAAGTAAAATTTGTGGTGTTTAAGTTTTGGGCATGTGAATTTTGACATTAGATTGCGGGGTATCAAAGTGCAAGATTTCACGATTGAATCAAGATTTCCTCCGGATCATCAGAGTTGATAGGCCAAGTAATTCGAATTACACAACGTTCACTATTAATCTATTCCACTATTCATCTCACACAAATCAAATTCGGATCTCTCTATTTCTCTTGAATAGTCCAATTACATGGGCCATCTGCGAGATCTGGAAACAATCTGAACTCGTCACCATAGTTCTCTACAAAAGGTTGACTTAGATAACACGTATGCATTTGTTGTAGCGATGTTTTGAGTAAATGATACATCGATATGTGATTTTTTTTTTCTTTGTACCCTTAAATATGGTCCTTAATTATTTGGTTACAGTGTTTTTTTTTTTGTTGTCAAAATTTAGTAACAGTGTTGGATAAGTATTAATGCAACCGCTTGATATATTATAGCAAGATTAAACAATAGTACAGAAAACACAGATTTGCTCTGAATTTCTGTCAAACAAAATGAGACACATATATGGGAAAATATCATTAATTGGAAAAAATCAGAAGCATTATCATATATATATATATATATATTGGTGTTATTGGGGTATTCGGAGCGATAGTAACGAAACGATGTAGATTTTGTTTTGTTTTTATTAAACTTATCGAAATTAAATATTGATAACATATTAATCAATTTGGCGATATAGCAATTAAAAATGGACAACAGAACGATCAGATATCAACGACCAATTGAAGGTCACAATTGTAATTTTCAACGATATAAAAACAGGATTACTTACCTAATCAAAAGATTAACGTCATCCATATACAATTATACCTACAAATTACACGAAATCCAATTGATTTATCTATTTATTTTGGAGACTGGCAGAGTGTGAGCTAGTGTATAATAAAAGCCTGCGTTACACTGCTACAGAACGGCGACTATGGAAAGCATCAACAGTTTCACTTTTTTCTTTTTCTGATAGAATGAAAATGAATAGTTGCAGCCGCTGTTTGATGAGATTGTGTACAAAGTCAACCCAATTTTAGTTGACGTGGGATCATGACTGTTCAATTCAAACTATAAACAGGGAATTTGATCTACTCCAAACCTTAATGTTCGGAACCTAAGAATCAATCCATATGGATCGCTGATTGATGTGTAAAATAAATAAGGGCTGCTAGTTTGTGTGTGGGACAGCAAAATGAGTTAATGGAGACCGTTGAATTCAATTTGTATAGAACTATCCATGAAGAATATCAAGAAAATGAACCTTCTCGCATGCTAAACCAAATTGTTTTCAAACTCAAACCGAGATCCTTTTCAGATCTCGTAGTCTGATGTTGACAAATCGAGATATTTGGACTATTCATTTTAAATTATACAGCTGTCGTTAACTCATTCCACTGGTCTACCGTACAAAAATAAAGAGACCGGATCTCTCTCTCCCTCTCTTGAACAGTCCAGACTACTCTGTTAGTGGGTTCCGGACCGCATATTCTCTATTAGCTTTTCATTAAACTTAATTATGGTTTTTAAACATATTTAACTCGATTAAAATTCACCCTATTGATAGCTAAGGTTTTTAGTGGAAGTTGTTATTAAGATTTTAAGAAACAAATCAGCCACGAATAATGTAGCAACAAACCACGCCGATATTGTTATCTCAACTTATAATTTACTATCGGCAGATTACAACAGGTGTAAAAGTTCCATCACAAATTTATTAGTGAAACTACTCAATTTAAATTATATTAATTTTTGTTAATTTTTCCAACGTGAGATTCTTGTAATTCTAAAATGGATTTGGATCTTATTCAGATCTATTAATCGTATATTGTACGGTCATAAATTATTTAAATTTTTTATTTAAAATTAAATACAAATAATATCAAATAAAAACTGATCACACAATATATAATGAACGGTTAAGATATAAGAATCCGAAAAGGATTCTCTTCCTTCTAAGACATGTTATACAACCCCAAAATTGAGCGAGTGGACCCACACGCAAATTGAGGTACGTAGGAGATAGGACCAGTACAATCCAATAGTGGTGCAGAGGAGGAGCGGAGGGTAGCATCCTATGAAAACGAGGTGGTAAAAGACACGTGGTCCCCACGCAGCACACGTTTCAGCCTCATGGACAAGCTTTGGGCTTTTTATCACGTGGGGTCCACTGACTTCTTACCCTCTTTCCCGCATACAAGTAAAACTTTTTAGTCTGTCGAAAATACTGCTTGATACATTAAATATATAATACAATTGGTTGAAAATTTGAAGGAAAAAAATTCCCAAGCAATTTTCTGACATCATGTGTACCGAGCCGTATTGACATGTGTCGAAGGAAAACGACCACGTTTCATATAACACGGGTGATTAGCCCCCTTAATCATCGAAACGTACAGCGTCGGCAGCCTTAATTATTAATTTGGTTCCAAATGACGACGGTCTATGATACAAAAACCAAACCGCGCTCCAAAACGGCAAAACCTACTATACAAAACAAAACATCATCCCAACATCACAAATTATTAAAACGACAAAACCAAGATTAAGATGTAATTATCCTCCTCGATCATCCTTCTTTTACTGTTTTGTACTCAACAAATTTTAAAATTCCTTCCAAGTACTTTCCCTGTTCATGTTCTATGTTGAACTCCACAAATTTTAAATTTCCTTCCAACTACTTTCTCTGTTCACGTTCTATAGTATGTACTTCGATGAATAAGACAAGACAACCACCATAGGACGATTTTATGTCGAGATTTTACACGACACGTTTTGGATTCGATTTATAATATTGTAAAGCTCACAATAATGGTTAACTGGAGGTTAAAATGTTTATGTGAGTCTTTCTAACCCTAAAAAATATAAACTATCGTGATGAAACCTTTTTTTAAAAAAAAAATTATATACATATATATATATATATCTATGCTTTTACACTATTAAGAGAACTTTTATTGTCAACTTTTCCCCTTTTT